GGCCGTGAACCGCTATGTTCTCGGCGTTCTTCAATCACATGTCATCCTTGATACTCCTTTGTTGCCGTGAGGCATCCTCTCAATTGTTGTTGCCAACCAAACCAACACGTCTTCGCGGAGGCGCACGTATCCTCGGTGCTTAATGCTACGAAAAACAAAGGCGACTCACTAATGCATAACAGGAGCACACACCTCTTGGGAGGGCGCGAGGCTCGAGGAGCAGAACAGGCGGGGGACGAAGCAGAAAAAGAGGGGGGGGGGGCAAAGCGTGGCAGAGGCTACGTCCGTTGCCATGAAAACCGCACTATTAGATATTGAGCCGCTCCTGCCACGTGGCGGGTCGGAGAAATCCGAGTGGCGCCTGAAACTGGAGGAAGAGGAAAGCAAGTCTGCTGCCTTCGATACCAAGGCTGCTGCATACGCTCTCCAGAAAACAATGTCCGCCGACCACCAAATATATTCGGAGCAAATAGTGAAAGAGGAGGAAAAAAAGCGGCCGGGTTACCAGACGAGAGTAAAATTCATGAAACAAATGGTAGCAAAACTCGAGAAGGACATGTTTGGCGGCCAATAACACGTTCTTCCACTGCGACGATTGCAGGCCCGGCAGGCGCGGTCTGGGCGACCCCATGCCCAGCAGCAGCACCACTTTCACCTGCATGCTGCAGTCTCGGAGGCACCGATTTCGCTCTAGATGGCCAGCCTTCCGCTGTTACGGCGTTGTTCATTTTTCAGTCACTTTGTTTTTGCTGTGTTCGTGCTCGAGCAGTTGCGGCTTCCCGTAAACAAAACCAGGAAAGCTTCAGATAGGCAACGCCGACGAAACTCGTCGAGGAGTTGCATATCAATACTCGATTGCCCGTACCCTCCCCAAAAGCATCTGGAATGTCAAAACGGGAGTCAAGGTGCGGTGGAAATGTTTTTTCTCACCCGCGGGACTGCTAACGGTCCGAGGGTGTTTCGCACCGTGAAATTGACCCACATGTACAATGCGGCGAAACCTCAAGTTTCAGTCCAAGCTCTCCTCTTAGGAAAAATAAATATAAACGCAGAAAGACTACCCATTCGAGATACACCCGCAAGAGGTCGAACGGGTTGTCTGTATGTCATCTTGCTTGGTCTGCTGGCTGTGGCAGAGTACGGTTCTGCAGGCATTATTTTTTTTGTGGCAGCTCAGTTCCATCTGTCACTCATGGCAGATTTCGGCCCAGATTTTCGGGAGCCGCGCACCGTGAGGCTTGGATGAGTGACAACACACACGGCACAGCCGGCCAACCCGGCGTCATACACGGAGTACTGTCTTTCCCTTGCTCCTGCCTGTCCGGCAGCAATGTCCATATATTGCCATGTATGTTGCGATGAGTTCATGGCTCCACTCAAACTTTCACAGGTATGTTTCCGGTACATATAGGTATGCATACGGAAGTTTCACTCTCGCTAGGGGCGCAGTGGTTAATATCTGCAACGTGATGTTCAAAGGTAGGTGGCGTTATGCGACGCCACGACGTTCGACCGGTGTTCAACCTGCTCTGAGCCAAAAACAATCGCGGTTTCGAACCGTCTCGTTGAGAGTTTTCTGACAACATTTTGGCGTGCTCTTCGTCTGCGGGAGACTTCATCTGCGGGAGACTGATACGAGTCATGTGTGGTGTCATGAGAAAGAACACTCTTAGTTGTGAGGGAAGAACCTGTCTAGTGTCTGTACAGACTGCAGTGAGCACCATGTAATTATTTGCCGCCCAATATGCATGCGAGCCATGTGCACCCTGGTCGATGCTGAAAAAAAAACTGCATGCACCATCTTGTCATGACAACGCCAAAGATGGTAACCCTCATCACACCATCATAAGGCTACCTACACATGCTGACCAGGCTGCCTACAAAAGGAGATCGGTGACACTTTGGGTGGCAAGTTCCTCTTGCGATCTCTCTGATTGAGTGACTCTGCACCATAGCAATACCTATTTCACGACTTCCTGCCAAGCGGGGGTTCTGCACAGAGAATGAATGCTGTGAGGTCTAATGAATCGTTTCTGCTTGCTGTGGAACTCCCTCTGTGCACACCAAGCGGCGGCAATTCCCAGCCTGAACGGACACCTGCTGCTGAAATGTTGCACAGACAACAAATGCGTTCAGCACAACAGAGACTCAAGGGCCGAACAAGATGTCGTCCACTGTCGCCTGAAGAAGCTCCACCCCGCAGTGAACGAAAGCTCAGCGCTGTGCTTTACCGTAAAGAATCTTACGTGACCCCCCATCAAGATCTTGGGACAGGAACACAGCGCCAGGTCGTTGATCCCATACGCAGTGAGAACCTTCGAGCTTACGTTTGTGCCGACCACCACACGGTCTGTCTATAGAGCAATATGTATGTCTAGTGCAACACGGCTCCCCATGAGATGCTGTGTGCCATACACGCCTCTTCCTTCGATTTTCGAACTCCAAACGCTCCCGCAAGAGATTCAGCTTCACGATTTCACACACAACAACCCTAACATGCCAAACTTCACCATTGTTCTTATTTTCGAGGCCTGAGACTAAACGAAAACAACATTGGTCAACAAAACCTTTTACACAGCAAGTTAAACACGGAGCAAGACAAAACGAAATGTTCGAACATGTTACACAAGGAGACGACACCGAAAGGAATCAAGCGAGTTTATCTATGTACAAAGTTTTTCGATAATAGTATGCATATGCTAAGGATATGCCCAATAAATATTGCTGTACTCGCGATAAAACACACACATGAAAGGTCCTTGTGATACTACATATTCTGTACTCCGTGCTTTAGGTACAACGCTTAAATTTGACTCCATTGGCGTGCACCCAGTCAAGCATGCGTTGGCCCGCCGTTCACTCTGCGCTCCCCATCGAACTGAACGGAACAATGCCGAGCGCCTTGCAAAAGCGCTTGGTGACACCGTATGCTTGTTCCCCGGCAAGTTTGGGGATGGATGTCCCATACGGGTTAAACATCGGGCTGCAACACCCGAAAGCTATTGCCTACTCGCCGTGAAACGCTCCTCTAGGGTGGGAGTGAGTTTCAACGTAGTAGCAGTAGCGTTGCACGCGAGGCAGAGAAAACCGGTTTGCGCCAGGCGGAAGATAAGCGTCCCAGAGCCCACATGCAACCACACATCGCCGGAACCGGGAACGACAGAGAACAAAGGGGGTATGGAGGCCATATGTTTAACTAACGTGGTGGTTCTGTGCACGTAAGGATCGAACCAACACAACGGAGAAGGGCGAACAGCGAAGAAAGGCCCGGCCGAACTTCCGGCTTTGTGGACCGGCCATACAGAGATGTGGGATCGACAGAGCAGACTGTGCGGAAACCTTGACAAAAGACCAGAACGAGAGGCATTGTCGATTGTTGGACAATGGTATCCATTGAATTTGCAGGCGACGGCACGGGAATGTAGGGCACAGGGTTATCAAAGTTGAACAAGCACTATGTAAATATCCCTCTAAACCGTTACGATTGGTCCCGTTATGGCCGACTGCCAACCAACCTAACACTTGACGATATACCCGAACGACAAACACCGGCAAGCATAGTCACTTGTCATTGGACTGTTTGGTGCTTCCAAAATAGTCGAAGAGTAGCGCCTCCCTTGCTTGACAACGACTGATATGAAATATGCGCCAAACCATGGGCGAAATTCGTCTCCAGAAAAGCGCTCTAGTTAGTGGCAGGAGACAAAGGATGGGATTACGCACACCTGCATCCCTAATGCGGGTGGATGTTCCCATGGCGCCGGCTCTTCTTGGAAGCCCTCTTCCGGGGATGCACCGCTCGTTTCATTCCTCATCTCCATAGATTCTAAACGCCTCATAGGCCCCAAATTGGCGACCGTTTTCGTGACGCCCGAGGCGCGCTCGACTGTTCTGGCCACGGATTTCTTAAAGTTGCGGGGCTTGAGATGTGGTTCTGATCGGCTGGCCGCCACAAAGAATATGGGCCACAATATCAGGATCAGATCTGCAAAATGGACGAGCGCAGAACCCCAAGATGGACACATGGAGGTACTTCAATTAGATGAAATACGTACACGGTTTCCAACAAGAGTTTTTGATGGTAGAGAACGCATCGCGGGTGGCAACCGCAGCAAAGTCAACCTGATGCAGACCCTGCGCGCTCGTGTTGCACTTTGTCTTTCTTCGGCTTCACTCACCCCTAAACCCGCCGATATTACCAAGAATCTCGGCGAATTCGAACGGGTCCAATTCCGTGATGACTTCCCATGAGTCAAACTGTTGCTTGATCTCCATCGACAACCGGACGTATGGCTTGGCAATGTCTGCGTCCACCTGGGCAGGATGAAGCACGAGTGAAAGCGAGGGATAAGCGAAATCCTTCTTTGAAGGGGACGACAAGCAACAGAGGCTCTTCTAGCTCTATACGATGGTCTTGTGTGGCATGTACCGAGGTATACGTTGATTGCTTCCACGAACACGCAACGACAAGTCTTTTGAGTTGCCCGGCACTCTCGCACGAGCCCAACCTACCGTCAGCCGAACTCAAACAGCGCGTGACATATCCCCGAAATTGTTCCATTCCAGGACTGCCCTTGGGGGATCCTCTTCGGGAGAGTAGACAGATCTAGAAAATTCAGCGATTGCCGCCGATTCGCAATGGAGCGCGAAATGAAGGGCGGCGGCGGTCGAGTCTCACATTATCCTTGACCACCCCGATGTTCGTCGATACAGCCTTGTACGAAGAAATGCTGTCCCCGGCATATTTAATCTGGTTGGTGAGGCCGATTCCCTGAACAAAAAACCACGCAAGGAGCGCACCCACGGTCAGCGCTGTGAGAAGCGTTCCACGGAAGGGCATGCTACAACATGACACAAAAACACAGTAAAAAACGACTAAACGTCCTGCCGTGATGAAACGAACAGGGCGCATGCGTCCTCACCAGCATGTCAGGTGCACAGAGCCGCTGTTGGCACACTAGGCTCTCTAGCTGAAGGTTCTAAAGTCCACCGTGTGGGGGTTAGCTCACCATTGAGTTGAAAACGTGGCTGTTGGACGTACTCGTGATGCAGGTGTAGGACAACTGGACTGCCGTCGACACCATGGAAGCGTCATCTGGATCGGTCAGGAACGCATACACCCACTCTCTGCGAGGTTCGGGCAGAATAAAGCGACACGCTGTTGTTGGAAAAGGAGTGCCTACCGTCTTTTGGAGGATCTCCGCCATGTCCAAAAGACGTACGTCACTCGCCTGAATGTTGGGGGTCTCATGTCATATGCATGGCATTTCCCGATATTTGCCGTCGCATTATCCTGTGCAGACGGTTTGGGTTTGTTCACCTGTGAGGCTCCCACTCTTCTCCATCTTCCACGCACGTCGTAGACTCCGTCGTCTCATTGCCACTGGGGTACCAATACATCTGCCCAAGTCAAGCAACGGGTGTCAGGTTCTTGTCAGTTACCTCGACCGCAGCGATGCTAGAGCGCCTCTCATTAGAAGGGGTGATATCGACGCGGCCCGAGTATGCTTTCCTGCTAGTAGTGCACAGCAGTGATGAGACCTGGAGGTTGAACTTCTTGGTCCGCCCACAGCAGGCGGATCAAAAGACCTCCGCCCTTCCGCGTCGGCAAAGGGGACGGCCGGTCTTGTGGAGCTGTAGCAGCATCACTTCGATGCCGTTGGCTTCTGTGGCTTTATAGGTGATGTATTGTGCCGAGTCTAGGTTACAACTTCTTGTTTTGTTTGTGGGTCGCGCCCCAGTCCGCATGTTGCTGAACGAGGAGGACGAAAATCTAGACCCTAACCCAAACCTAAAGACGAAACAGTATGGCTTCGAGGAACGGCGGTAGCCCATGTCGACCAGAATATCATTGTCTCTGCTGAGGAAAAGCATAAGCAAAGAAGGGGAACCTGGCATGGGTTCTGTAATGGTTCGTTCACAGCCGCAGGTTCTCCGGGGTCACCGCTGCTATGACAACACCATTTGATCTGGGCGTGCGGGGCAAAATGGTCCACTGGTTTTCCTTGCAGGATGCAGTATGCCCGTCCTAGGCCACACCAAACGACCAAACCACTCACGCCAAAGTACCCAAAAGGGGCCGTCGTGTGAAAAACATGCGAGCGTTTGGCACGTCACGGGTGTCGTTATCTGGTGACTACGAGACATAACGGCAAAGCCTCACGTCCAAGCTGATGTAGTCCAAGTATTCGTCGGGGTTCCTCTCTTGCCCAACAAAAGCGGTGGCAGCCGATGTCTTGAACTCCACACAGAGTCCTCTCCCCTGAAGGATGGGGACGCCAAGCACGGCAAGAGACCAAACCAAGGGTGTGACAGGTGTTTCAGGTGCCATGCTATGGGAACCCCACGAGCAGGTTTATGACATTGTACGCATACCTACGTACACGGGATATATGCATATACATTTCGCGTGTTCCTGTTGCGACAGAGAGCGCAGAATGCGTACAGGGAGTCTCGCCATACGGGCTGCTCATTGGGTTGTCGAGCTCGAAGGCGTGGGCGGGCGACACCCAGCGCTGGTCGCAAGACACGTCCGTTTTATTCCCAAGTGCTTTAGCACACATATTTGTATGCTCACAACGAATAGATGGCCCATGGTCCTTCCAACGTGTACGCAACACCCTCGTCTCGAACTACAGCAAACACATCATACTTCATGGGAACGCTTTTCGTGCCTTTACTCTCACCTCAGTACCCGTATCGATCGCGTTAGCCTCGATTTGCAGCTGGTCTGTGGCGACTTGGTCCGTCCCGTCGCTGGGGTAGAAAATCGCCTCGGGTACGCCTCCCTCGGTTTCCCACGCGGAGTTGACACACCCCAGCTCGAGGGAAGTGTCGTCGCAGCCATACTGATTGTATGGGCACACCCAGAGGTCGGGATATTTGTACACCGTGTTCTGTGAGGCAGTGGGACAAAAAGAGGAAAGAGAGGACAACGAAATCATTTCAAAATTAATCCCCGTGATCAAGTGCACACGGCGCTGGCACGGGTTGATGGACTTTCAGCCATTGCCAACCACTGTATACATGTGGTGGCTGATAGCAGTGGTCTTTCGCATCCGGGTGTGCTAGCAGATTGCTCTCCTTGTCCATTCTGTGGCACCCCTCCTTCGACTTGCTTCACGCTTTCGCACGGTACAACTGGATCGTCCGGAGAAAACATTCAACACTGCGGAATATTCTCCGTCTGTACATTGCAGCTGGGAGAAACCCAACATGGTTTCGGCCATGAGATTTGGACGAGCTATACTAGACGACAGACAGAATCGCTGCCCCGATTGTTCGTATGGTTTTTCTGCATCAAACAGTTGCATGTGCCGGTTGGACTAGTGGTATAAAACGTGTGGAAGTGTTCCGTGTCCTTATTGAACCTGTACATTTGAGGTGTTTGTGCGTGTGCCTGTGCTGGGTTAGCTCGCAGCCTATTTTTCGAGCTACTACGTTCTCCGAAAAGCGTTCAAACCGCTGGTGCTCGGGCTCGAGCAAGTGGGGGTCGTGGTCCTTCAGGGTAGGGTCGGTGACTTTCCCGCCATACCGGTTGCAAAAAAAGGTGTTTGCAATACCACACAGAACATTGCTCCAGCTTGAGTACGTCGACGCGTATTCAGAGATTCAGAGGTTACAGGGCAGCTTTGAAAGGGTGAAAGGATTTTGCACGCGAAACTGATCATGACAGATGTTACAGCTGTATCTGAAAGTAGACCCAGGTGCAGCCCCGAAGGCTTCGACAATAATCGGATATGTCTAGGCTAAGGACCATTGGGTTGCTCGATGTGGCGACTCAGAGAGAAAACAACGGGTGTACCGCGAGAAAGCGCATGCATGGAAGGAAAACACCTACCACATCAATTGGAAGCTAAGACGGGGTTTGGAGAATCCGAGAGTTAATCTCCACCGATCAGTGCGAAAAACTGAACTCTACCAAAACAAGCTTAGCTCGGTGGTCTCGGATTTCATGCGACCATTGACATACCGAAATTAATGGATATTTCATCGACAGCAGGCCTAAAATGAGTAAATCTGGGTTCTTCGAAAACGTATGGCCGTGTTCGGTGCCGCCTGTACCCAGAACCCGAGTCCCTTGACAGGTATTCCGGAGAGTTTCCATGTTCGGATCAGCGAACGGAACGTTTTCACGGCTTAGCCAAACGGCAAAATGTTTCCATTTGCGAATTCACGTCCGGATGAGACCCTGAACAAGCAGGAACAGAGACTACAAGCACATCCGAACGCACCCAACTACGACATCAAGCGCATTTCGGCTATCATTCATGGCTACAAAGGCATAGAACAGGGCCGCCCCTGCGACTCGCTTCGCTCGCCAATGCTGATGTCGTATCGAATCTATTATCGATTGAACATGTATATGCAACACTAGTTCTTGGTTGTAATATTGTTGCCCCACCGTTTCTCCTGCGTTCAAGACAATATATTTTGTTATTCCACGGGAAGGGTTCAGCCGTCCCTTCCCCTCGCCGAACCGTGAAGTCGTCCACCGCATATAATACTAGAAGTATACTCACAAGCACAAGAATTCGCAACAGTCCTAGTGACATAGGCCGTTGTGAAGCGGAAATGACGTGCCAAGGAACAAGGAAAACTGGGATCTACAAAGGTCATGGCTGACTAGGTCAGCACCAAATTTGGTCTCACCGACAGTACGACCGATGTGTTCGGAGACTTCGTTCTCTCCACTACTTTGTACAGGAGCCAGCCGGTATCTGCGAAGAGGCACGAAAGAAGAGTCGCCGTGAGAAAGGTTGCTTGTGGCCACCGCAGAAACATACCGAAGTGCCGATACGTAGAACAAGGCGATGTTGCTGTCGTTGCCAACGAGAGATAGCCGCGGATGGCGTAAGCATCGAGCGAGATGAAAACGTGACATTTGGCGCATTTGCTGAAAAGCTGATGTTGAGTAGCCGGGTTTCGTCTCTTTGAGCAGCTTCGAGTGCTAAGTTCCGACCTCGTACGAAAATTGGCGTTCGCTGCAACGGCCAGCACCCTAAGTTTGTCCATGGTTTCGAAATGGTTCGCAGCGCCACCGTGCCGGGGATCACGATGCGAGCCGCTAGTGAGGCCGCCCGTGGGTCAATAGGTTGGAGTCGTCGGCTCTACATATTTTCTCATCTAAGGAGAGACGGATAGAGGGGGGAGGCCGGGTGGTGATCAAGAGTGGCATCCGGGTCTACCGTCTTCTTGAACCTATTGCTATGCAGCGTGTGGCGAGCAAGCTCGAAATTCGCCAAATCATAGGCGCGCTCACATATGAGAATTGACACATGCAGTGCCGTCCACAACATGCGAGCCCGCCGCCTGTGTTGTGCAATTACCTCGTCCGGCGCCCTGAATTGGTGGTGGTGATGAAAGGGAAAACGGTGATGAGCAGGGTGTGGTGCACATGAGTGGTGCACATTTGAGGGGCACGGGGGTGAGACAGGAGAAACAGGCGAAGCGTGTAGCACACCAAGCCAAACATGAGACCCAAACGTCGATTTGACGGGCGGGGGAAAAGATGCCCATCGCTTTGGTGGGGACTTGCATGGTCCAAATGCGTGCATAGACAGCCCGAAAGGGTAGGCACTAGAAGCGTGAGCAACACTCCAGGCTGAGTAGGGGCGATCCAAGGATAGCTTCGTCAGCTCTGTCAAATGGGCGCAAAAAAACAACAAGATTTGTTAGCCCACAAATCGACAACCGCGGGGGGGCACATTCATACAGAAATCTCCAGGTGTTATGCTGAGGCTTTCTCGCTGATGCAGGGACACGCAGCGGAGGTCCTCCGGGTTTAATGCTGGGGAATTTTTGCGGAGGCTGCTGTTGCTTTCGTGTTTGTGTCGTTTTCGTAGCATCAACCAACCGTGCAAACCGACTGATAAAAAAAGGCTCAATGCGACTGAAAGCAGAAAGAGCTTCGAAGGGCATGATCTGGGACCCCGTGAGGGCGCGTCGTGGGAAAAAACTAGGCTATTCTCCGGGTTGAAGACAGAAACGATAGCAGATATGCAAGCATACGTGTATGTCATCTGGGTCTGGAGACCGTCGAGAGGTGACGGGAATCACCGCGCGACCCCCAGGCTTATCTTCGGGAGTTTCTCATGCACACATCCCTATCAACCTTCTGGAGTAGCCAGCCTCTAGTCGTCTCAAGGTATCTGTGGGTACCTCCAGACATCAACTCTTCGGCGCTGGCAAGGTCGTACGGTGAGAGACATGTTTTGTCGAAGCAAAACAAGAATACAGAGCAAACCCTCGCCGAATGGCTCGTATATTTTCGGCGATTCATGATAACTTTCGAGATTCCTCCCCCCGGCCGGGGGGTGCGCTCACCCTTGGGGGGGATGGTGGAACCCTGCATCATTTTATCTTGGTGAAGAATAGCTAAAAACAGAATAAATGCAACGTTCGCTTTGTGTCCGTTTCGCGCATTGATTTACTTTTCTGAGGATGTTTGTCACTTGTCCTTTATTAATCTTTGCTTGCTACTGTTGTACAGAACCCGGCACCTCATGGCCCCAGGCTCGGTTCAGATTTTGTCTCAAGCGGCTACCCCACGGCGACTATGTATATAGGTTTCAGTGTAGGCTTCTTGGCTTTGGGCACCTGTTCTTATAAGGCCAAGACCTTAGATTTGCGATTATTGATGCTCAAGTTCCTAACCGCTAAGTTCTATGTGCGTGGCGTGCTCTGTTGTTTGTGTGCCCTTGTAGGGAGTCTACTGAGACCACGGAAGGCGCGCGGGTCCATTGGACCGGTACGGCTGGTAGAAAGCACTGATCGGAGACAGGGTTAAACGGTTGTTGTACTGTAGACACTCTGCAAATAGGTAACATGCAACACCCCCTGGACCGGTTTTCAAATCCTGATTACTCCACAACGAAGCGGATGCCCAAATCAAAAATATTGCGTTCTCGGAAAGCTCTCGACGAGGCCGCCCCTTTTTGGCACCGTCACCGCTGCCTTTCCTGCCGAGTAATCGAGCTCTGAAAATTGGTCTGGGTGTGATTCTTGTGCAACCTACAAGCAGTGGGTATGCCTACATATGCATTGGCAAATGTATGTGTGTGTCCGGGACGGCGTTAAGGCTTTTCGTGATTCCATACAATAACAGCAGCAGTGTTCGGTGTAGTGCAGATTGCGATTTTCCTACGTACGCTGTAGACTTGGTCTACATCTGTACATTGTACAACAGTCCAGTGTTGCTGTATTGAAGGTTGATGAAGCAGCTCCGGTCCAATAGGAGCTGATACGCTGCTGAAGACAGATGTTCGAGACACAAACCCCTACAAGATGTTGATGTCTTGCTAGAGAGAGACATCCAGCATCATCTCGCCACAGCTCCTCACAAGAAACGACTGTCCATGGTCTCCAGCAGCAGCGGTACGACTGTGTGGGAGGGCATCAAACCATGTTCGTGTTCGTACGTACGATTGTAGGCTGTAGTGTATACATATGCATACATGTACCCCTCACGTCATCGTTAGTCTACTGCTGCTGGAGACCATGGAGATCATCATCGCCGGCTCCCATGGTGTACGCAAAACGTCGCCAGACTGGTACGAGCAAGTACTTCTGTGTCGTCTGTTTGAGAAGAAACATGTGTGTCGTATCAAGTCGTATGTATGTATTCCCATGGGAAAAAGGCGGTCTGCTGCTGGGGCTGTGCAATCATTGTGAGGCATCATGGTGGAGCAGCTCACCACATGTTTCTTCGTTTCTTTCGTCCCTTCTCCTTCAGTCGCAGCACCAGAGAGAAGCGCCGCGGTAGAGTCCTGTTGCTATCTGCGTTTGGCACCGGCGGTGGGCGTGCTGTGTGTGCGCTTTGTGTGGTACCAGACCAAAAGCGTGCTCAATGCGAAGATGTCACCTAGAACGAAAGTGCCAGGAAAATTCCATTGGCGAAAACTGGCGAAATAATTTTCCAACGAAGAGTCTGGGAACAACTTGACAGTCTCGTGCGGAGCATCTCCAAAGATGTGTACGTGTGTACGTCCTGATTGACGCCAATGCGCAGACAGGAGAGAGAATGGAGAGGATGGGGGGGTCATGGGCACACATGGGCGTGATGAGCCGAAGTACAATGGCAGGCTGCTGCTGACCTTCGTAACGAAAACATTGAGACACGGGGTAGACTATGGCACACATGCCACGGGTGCGGTGTGTCATGGACCGACCGCAAACAAACGCCTCGACTACATCTTACGCGGTGGGCACACCACGGCCGAGTGCCTAACGTGGTTATCAACCCCCAGCCGGCAAGCCCAGTCAAGGCCGACTCAGAACCACAACATGGTGATAGCTACTGCCAACATCGGTGGCAGGCTCGCCCACAAGCGAGCGGTTCTGACCAAACCGAAACAGACGCAGTTGTGGCCGGCGGGAGTTACAGGGCCAAGCAACGCTATGGGCGGTCGCTGACCGGTTCCTCCTCAACCTCGACCATCGACTGGGCGAGCAAGCGATCACCACCCCGGAGATAGCGATCGCGTTGAAAATGCTCCCTTCGAAGTACCGTTGCACGGACGATGCTACCCGAGGACCACGGAGACGACACACGCAGGAGTGGTGTCAGACCCCAGAGACAAGCAAGAGCAACCTCGGACGAGGCCCTTACCAAGCGGCAGGAAGCGCGCCGCGTAATGATGGGCCATCGGAAGTCAATACCATGCAGGACCCTCAAAGAAGCCTGTAAAGGGGGTGTTGCAGCTGTCGAAAATTGCATCTACGTCCACCTGGACAGATATGTGACCGAACTCGAAGCCATCTACACGGAGCGAGACATGAGAGACTCTACAAGCACGTCAAGAGATCGGTGGGCCTCAATGGGAGCGGTTCGTCTGGACAGCGGTTCGTCGTTGACGAGAATGGCGCGCTGCTCCGGCACAAAGATGACATCCTCCAGCACGGTGGGTGAGCTTCTTCGGCACCCTCCCCAAGCCGCCCACCCTGAACTCAGATGTCATCTCGAACAAGCAACGCAACGGCCAACGACACACCCGGCGGTTGGGAGTAGCGCCAGACCTGAAGGAGGTGGAACGGGCAACGAAAGGTCTGCTGAACTGGACGGCACCGGGCCGTGACTCCCTTTCTGCAGAGTTGCTCAGGTTCGATGACGACGAACCCATCGTGCTGGGGCGCCTCCATGCCATCCTCGATGAGGTGTGGAACGGAGGAGAGGCCCACTAAGAGTGGAAGGAACGCAACGATCAAAGTGTTGTACAACAAGGGTGACCGGTCCAACATGAAGATCATCACCAAACCGTGACGTTCCTTCTCTGCGAAGCAATAAACATCATACCAGAGCAGCAGTGCGGGTTCCGACCTGGGCGATCCATCGTCGGCATGCTGTTCTTCGTGCGCCGACTCCAGGAGCTGGGGCGGCGAAGTAAAATATACCGCTCTACATGTGCTTCATTGACCAGGAGAAGGCTTATGGCTCGATGGATCGAGAGCTGCTGTGGAAGGCTCTGACCAGGGCCGGGATTCCCGCGGAGATGGTCACTCATCCGCCACTAATTTCGCGACAGAACGCGAGCCCGGGTGTGGATGGACGACGGAGAGCTATCGGACTGGTTTTCAAGGGTGTGTTCTGTCTCCACTGCTGTTCAATATCTTCTTCGCCGCGGCTCTCGACGTCGTTGTCACTCGGGTCAGCGAGGATGATGTTATTCTGCCCGCAACCTAGTGCACCTGGGCGGAGGAAACGGGAGCGAGGCCGGAAGCACCACTTGACCAAATGCGGAAGGCGGTATGGGGGAAGCTGATGCCGATGACGCCTGCGTTGTATCGAAGTCCGCCGCAGACTGGCGAGATCGTAACCGTCATCGTGGAATTTTTCGGGGAGTTCGGGCTGACGGTGTCGGTAAAGAAGACGGAGACGCTGCTGTTGCGCGTAAAGGAGGGGGAGCAGCCAACGCCGCCACCCCCACCGTCACCGTCATCACCGTCATCATCGAAGAAACGGGACAGAGGTACGCCCAGACGACTGAGTTCCCGTACCTTTGTGACCTCGTCAACCAATATGGCGACCTCGCCCGGGAGATCAACTACAGGATCAGAGTAGCGTGGGAATGCGTCAGGAGAAATGGCCGGGAGCTGTTAGACAGACGTTTCGACTCAAGAACCGCCTGCTCCAGGCAGAGGCGATGGACGCGCTGGTGTACGATTGCATGGCATGGGACCCACGTCGTAATCACTACCGGTTGTTGCGACCGGCAACTCTCCTACTCCCAGACCCTGAATAGCGCCGGGTGCCAGAGCGTGGAAGCCACTGTTCGGCAAAGGGGCCTACTGTTCGCGGGAGCATTGGTGAGGCAGCCGGGCGGGCGACTCGCGAAACGGCTGATGTTCGCCGAACTGTTGGGGGGGGAGAATCCAGGAAAGGGATTCCCGGAACAGCAATGGCTGACGTGCCTGAAGGACGATTTCAAGGCGTTCAAGGCTACACACGGATCCACGGAAGACGAACCACGTGTGTTCGGAGTCCCGAAATTAGGTTGGACGGAAGCAGCGAAGGCAGAGCGGGGTGTACCATGGCATGCGGGGGTACGGCAGGGAGCTGAGAAGTTGATGGCCGCCTGGCACAAGGATAAAGAGGAGGATAGCCGATGACGAGCGCTGAAACGAGACAACGAGACCAGCAACAGTACCGATATGTCACCGACCAAGGGATCGAGAGAGGGGGAAGCAGACGGACGAAACGGGGAGGGAAGAAAGCAAACGAGAAGAGGCAGACCGAGTGACGTGAGATGGGCCGAATTGAATCCCTTCGCTGATCCGCCCGCCCCCTCCCCGCAATGCACCATTGCATCAGTCCCCACAAGTGATTGTATGCCTTGTTTGTGGATGGTGGCCCTATCTGATTGTGTTTATTCGCTGGTGGTTGTGCATGTGTCCTTATTTTCTGTGTCTGTTTTTATTTTTCTTGCTTTTTTCCTGCCTCTTTTCTTTTTCCGTTTCTTTCCTTTTCTCTATTATACTTCATATTTTTGTCCTTTTGGTTTCTTCCCCGGACTGCCTGCTCTCTTCACAACAACAACAACAACACCAGCAACAACAACAACAACAACAACATCCTGCGTACCGACTTCGAGACGCCCGGCAGCCTCCCAAATGTTGGAACACCCCTTGGGCAGGTGCGGCTTGTATCTACAGCGACCTAACGGACAGTAGCTGTTACCCCCTCTTGGCCCCGCGGCTTAAAAGCACAGCGACTAGGCCCTAAGCAACAGAGAGCTTTAGGTTATCTACAGTACAAGGGTTACCCCTCTCCATTGCGAGTTACAGCAGTTTGCGGAACAACCAACAATTGTTGTTTTGTGCAGTGTTTGAATCGCAACCCGCACGGAACGAGTTTCCTCGGCACGACGAGCCGCTTGCTCGTCCAGAGCTGGTTCTCGCCTCAGTGCCGTACTGGAGGAAACGGAAAAAGCGCTGCGGTGAAGAAGCGCTCTGTTGGTCTTGGTTGGGCGAAGGCCGGTTGGAATGTGTCCTGAGCAGAGTGAAGTTTCGTACGGTTATAGCAAATGTGTTTTGCGATGGGGGCACGTCGTCTGCAGTGGCGTCCCTACGGGAAGTGTCGGCCTAGTTGCCGGCAGGCTGGTCGACGGGCACGCCGGTGACCTCGAAAGTGTTGGTGACATCGCGCCCGGGTCACGCTGGCGGCGGTTCAGCGGGAGAGGGTGGAGCATGCGTGGTGACCGGGGAAGAACGAACGGCGGCTAGGCGATGTCTCGGAGGTGGTGACGCGCCTGCGTTTACCGGCCGAAGGCGGGGAGGGCTTGTCCAAGTCCAGGGTTGCGGTTGTCGGCCGCTGTTTTCACAAGCGGTTGTGCGAAGGGGTTCAGATGCAACCGCGTGTTGCCCACGGTCTTTGACAGCAGCGACGGTAAGCCTCGATGGCGTGTTCTTCCCGCTCGAAGGGGTGCGTGCTTTTGTCGCAGGATTATGTAGTCTAAGGGTTTCATTTTTGCCTTCGAAATAGCGAGCGAAGCGCACAAAAGGGAGACAGATGTCTAGCACCCAGAAAAACTCCCAATCAGGCCAAAACCAGAAAGCCCTTGCGCACGCGGACCCCAAGCCGAGGCCAAATATGACTCGATATTTCACTGTGGAGGGAATCTGCCCAGTGTGTGTAGATTTGCGGCTCTGTTTCAGTCTAACTTCCTTTACTTTTCCTTTCCTTGGCAATCACTGGCTATCCCTCGATCCCAGGCAACACTGAAGAATAAAATACAAACGCGCTTGCTGCTGCCAAACAGCGACTGGCCCGCTGCTTGCATCAATACGGAACTCGGCAGGTGGTTCTGTACAAGACATGCCCACCCAGATGGTATTTTACTCCAAAGAATAAAAAAACACGACAATGCGCCATCCTCACCGATTGTAATATTTACATTGCAAAGGTTATCCCTAATCAAACATGTATTGGTTCATTCTAAATATAAAATGGAGCGCCTTTGCAAAAGCACTTATTGGGAAAGACCATGGCACATATTTTCCGACCAACTTTGAGGATGTATGTCCCAAACGGGTCACACATCGGGCTGTATCACCCGGAAGCTATTAGGTACTCTTCTCGAAACGCTCCTCTGGATCGTGAGCGGGTTTCAACGTAATCGTAGCGTTCCACGCCAGGCCACGAAAGCCGGGTAGCGCCAGCCGGAAGGAACGTGCCCGAGAGCCCCAATGCAACCACACATCGCCAAATCGGGAACGACGCGGAGCGAAGGGGGGTACGGAGGCGGTACGATAAACGTGTCTGTTCTGCGAACGAATGTGTCGAACCAAAGACAACGGAAGGCACTGCTGCCTCACGAACACAACTATTTAATAAACTTGCCGGAAGCGGTAGGCAAAACCTGGACACAAGCCTGTCAAAGGTCGAACAAGCACCACTACATCTCCGAAATCGTCGCGATTGATTCCATTATGGACGACCCCCAGCCAATTTCGATTTGGATGATTCGCCCGAACGCAAAGATCGACAAGCATCGTCTCTGGCCAATGGAATGTTCGGCGCGCCAAAATGTTACAAAGAGTGTAAGGGTACCGCCTTCCTTGCTTCACGACCACTGTGATGAACCATGCGCTAAACCATGGCGAACCCCGTCTCCCGGGAAGCATTTCATGCAGTGGCAAAGAACCAAAGGACAGGGTTGCGCGCACCTGTACCCCTAACGCGGGTGGATGTTCCCACGGCGCCGGCTCTTCTTGGAAGCCGTCTTCCAGGGATGCACCGCTCGTTTCATTTCTCATCTCGATAGATTCTACACGCCTCATAGGCCCCGAATTGGCGACCGTTTTCGTGATGCCCGAGGCGCGCTCTACTGTCCTGGTGACCGATTTTGCAAAGTTGCGAGGCTTGAGATTTGGCTCTGGCTGGCTGGCCGCCACAAAGAATAAAGGCCATAAAATCAGGATCAGATCTGCAAACGGACGAACACGAGAACACAACAATAGCGAACCGAACCGGAAAAGAGTAAATCGCGTGCAGGGTTACCAGCAGAGGGTATTTGCTGGTAGAGAACGCATAGCTGGTGGCAAACGCGGCAGGTCTGCCTAATATAGACCCTGCGCGTTCTCGGTTAGCTTTGATCTTTGGCTTGCTTGTGTGTTCACTTACCCCAAAACCCTCCGATGTTACCAAGAATCTCGGCGAATTCGAATGGGTCCGCTTCTGTGATGATCTCCCACGAGTCAAACTGTTGCTTGAGCTCCATCGACAAACGGGCGTATGGCTTGGTGATGTCAGCGTCCGCCTGGACAAGAACAAGTACGAGTGACAGATAGAGACACTCTGAGATCTTCTTTGAAGGCGACGACAAGCAGCGAGGCTCCGGTATTTCTACGTCACGGTCTTGTGTGGCATGTAACGCGGTAAGCGTTGATTGCTTCCACGAACACGCAACGACCAGTCTTTTGAGTTGCCCGCCTCACCTGATCCTTGTACACCCCGGAGTTTATCGATACAGCCTTGTACGAAGAAACATCGTCTGCGGCATATTTAATCTGGTTGGTGAGGCCGATTCCCTGAACAAAAAAATACGCAAAGCGCGCACCCACGTCCAGCATCAAAAGGCATGCCACGACATCACACAAAAGCAAAAACGACTAGTCGCCTTCCAGTGATGAAACGAACATGGCGCAAGCATCCTCAGCAGCATGTCAGGTGCACAGAGCCGCTGTTGGCACACTGGCTCTATAGTTGAAGGTTCTAAAGTCCACCGTGTGGGGGTTAGCTCACCACCGAGTTGAAGACGTGGCTGGTGGATGCACTCGTAATGCAGCTGTAGGACAACTGCACTGCCGTCGACACCATGGTAACGTCCTCTGGATCGGTCAGGAACGCGTACACCCACTCTCTGCGAGGTTCGGGAAGAATGCAGCGACGAGTTATTGGGAAGAAAAGTAGCGCCTACCGTCTTATCGCCGATCTCCGCCGAGTCCAAAAGACGTACGTCACTCGCCTGAATGTTGGGGGTTTCATGTCATATGCATGGCATTTCCCGATATCTGCCGTCTCGTTATCGTGTGTAGACGGTTTGGGTGTGTTCACCTGTGAGGCTCCCACTCTTCTCCATCTTCCACGCACGTCGTAGAATCCGTCGTCTCATTGCCGCTGGGGTACCAATACATCTGCCCAAATCAGGCAAAGGGCGTACGTGTTTGTTGGGTGAATCGACAGCGGCAATGCCAGAGTGGCTGTCAACAGAAGGGGTGATATCGACGCGGCCCGGGATACCTTCCACATCCGTGGCACGCAGCAGTGATGGGACTGGAGGCTGGACGTCTTGACGCATCCACAGCAGGCGGATCAAAAGACCTCCCGCTTGTCCGCGTTGGGCTTAGCACAAGATCGGTATTGCGAAGCTATGGCAGCGTCACTTCGATGCCGTTGGCTCCTGCCGGCCTTGCAGGTGACCTATTGATCCCGAGAGCTGAACAACAGTCCGGGTGTACAACGCTACGTTTGTGGTTTCCGCCCCCGCCCGCGTGTTGCTGAACGACGCGGACGAAATCTAGACCTCATTACCAAACCTACAGGAAAGCCGAAACAATATGGAATCGAGGGAAGCAGTGTCTCCGCGTAAGAGCAGGTTGGGCAAAGGACGGGAACCTGGTATGGGTTGTGCAATGGTTGGTTCACAGCCACAGTTTCTCCGGGGTCACCGCTGCTATGATAACACCATTTGATCTGGGCCTGGCGGGAAATATCTTCCGTCTATTATCTGCGCAGGACGCAAAATGCCCATCCTAGGTCATAGAAACCGACCAAATCATTCACGCCAAACTACCCATATAGGGCCGTCTTGTGAAACACAAGCCAACGTTTCACACGGAGTGGATTCACGAGTTTCGTCATCCGGAGACTACGAGACATAATAGCAACGCCTCACATCCAAGAGGATGTAGTCCAAGTATTCGTCGGGGTCCCTCTCTTGCCCAACAAAAGCGGTCGCAGCCGATGTCTTGAACTCCACACAGAGTCCTCTCCCCTGAAGGACGGGGACGCCAAGCACAAGAGACCAAACAATTGGTGTGATAGGTATTTCAGGGGCATTACTATGAGGACCCAACGAGCAGGTGCATGGCTTCATTCGAATACAGACACGCACGGGCGTTCATGTTGCCAAAGACAGCGAACACAAACAAGACAACATAGAAACCGGGAAACACACACGGGATCCTCAATGATTTGTTCGGATGGAAGGTTCGGACGACACTCAGCGTTGGCCACGAGACACGTCCGCTATGTCCCGAAGTGTGTCAGCCCGAAACCCTGTATACTCAAACCCCATAGATGGCTGGGCCTTTCCAACCCTTACACGAATACGCTTTCGACTTTCGAAACTACAGCAAACTCAGCGTAATCGTGGCAATGCTTCTCTTGCCTTTACGATCCCCTCTATGGCACTCGTGTCGACCCAGGTAGCCTCGATTTCCAGTGGGTCTGTCGCGTTTTGGTCGGTCCCTTCGCTGTTGTAGAAAATCGCGTTGGGTGGGCCTGCCTCAGTTTCCCACGACGACTCCACACATCCCAGCTCGAGGGTGATGTCATCGCAGCCATACTGGTTGTATGGGCACACCCAGAGGTCTGGGTACGTGTACACCACGTTCTGTACGGCGGTGGGACGTATTGAGGAAACGGCGACAAGGGAAATAGGTAGAAACATGTCGCGGTTCACCAGTTCGCGAGATGGCGCGCGAGTAGTGCACTGTCGATTTGATGGACGGGTTCACCAGTTCGCGAGATGGCGCGCGAGTAGTGCACTGTCGATTTGATGGACGACATACAGCCGTCCGCAGAGCCCCGGTTGATTTTCTGACGACTACTTGTACATTGTAGCACGTGGTGTCTGACGACCCACTTGCACATATTAGCACACGGTGGCTGTAGACACACGCCTGAACACGTGAGCAGATTGTGTCTCCCAGTCCAGTCTGCGGTGCCCCTCGTTCGAACGGTATCCACAACTGTGAGCCGGGGGTAAAATATCCGCACCCTCGGATTTTGTTCCCGCGGTACATTCCAGGAGGGCGATTCCAGCACAGTGTTCGCCGGAAGATCTTGAACGAGGTAAACCAGACAGTGTCGCCGTCCGGATTGTTCGTACGGTCTCTTAACCAATCGATATTTGCATGTATGTGTCGGTCCGAGCGGTGGTATCAGAAGTGCTGGGAGTGGGGGCGCACCTGATTCTCTACATCTGGAGTGTTCTTGGTGCTCAGGCCGTCGAACTGACTCTCCATCGTTTCTCCCCTTTCGCCGTTGTACTTATTCTGTGTTAGTGCGACACGATGTAAGCACATCTCTGCGCACTGTCCGGCAGTCGTCTACAAATACGTATTGCATGAGGCAGAGGAGCCCCCGCATACCGTCGAGTCGAACCGGCATGCCAGGGAACAAAGAAAGCTGGGGATCGATGTAGGCGATGACGGATCTGGTCAGCAACTCAGCATATCTCACCGACAGCTCGACAGAGGTGTTTGGAGACTTCGTTCTCTCCACCGTTTTGTACACGAGCCAACCGACATCTGCGAAGACACACGCAAGCAGGTAAGAGCGTTGTTTGTGGGCCACAGAAGTCTGTGGGCCTCAGACAGCCTATCCATCGGCTGATACATACAGTAGGACAAAGTGCTCCCGTTTGGCGAACAGAGATATCCACGGCTGATCTGAGCGTCGAACGATGAAAACGTGACATGTCCTCCGTACAAACGTTGCTTATGTTGCTCGAGCAGAACCGCAACGAAGTAGACTGAATACAGCGCACACAAGGCCGTCACACCTGCAACTTTGACGAACGCATGCTGCCGCCACAGTACCCTCTACGGTGAAGCGATACGGTTCGAGCCGCGTCAATGCGTTTAGCGTGCAAGGGCCGACAACCAGTAGCATGCGGTCGCCGAAAGATAGCAAATCTCCACGTGAGGACCGATGATTGGTCGCAGAAGCTTTGCTACTTATATGGAGACCTACCGGGTGTGTGTACAACGTCGTAAGTAAGGCACCGTCACCGCGGCGGGAACACTGAGTCTACTGGTGAGACCTGCATGTTGTTTGACATACTATAACCCGAAACCCCCCGATTTGTCAAGCTAGATCCTCACATTCGTAACTGCCATCGAGACGTCGCGAAGGCAGGAACAACTATATGTTGTCTGCATGTTGTCTATCGTGAGCATTGCACGTTTATTCTTCCGTGTGCCCAGCTAGATCTTGAAACTGCCGCCGAGAGACGCCAGGTGGAGGAAGGCGTATAACACTTTGTCTACGTATGGATGCAGTTTGCGGCAAAAAGACTGGCATTGAATTGTTGGGGTTCAAAATACAAACCTAAACCAAGAAATGGTATTCGATTCAACAAAACTACTGTAGATTCTACGTCTGTCTACCGTTGTGGACTGGGTCACGGCAGGGCCGCGCCGGCGCTGACGATTCATGTTCCTTGGGAGGCGACCCGTGAATCAAAATGTTCGACGCAGCGAACCCTACACCTAGTAATCTATTGATCGTTTATGATTTTTCTCAAATAAAGGGAGAGGGAGAGAGGAATAGAGTGGGAAATAGATCTACTATACCCTATTGCTGATTTCGTGTACAGCGTTCGCATGATAGCTCAGCGTTCTTGGTGATAAGCGCGCTCACATGTGACAATTCCCACCATCATGATGGCCCACAGCACACGAGCCCGCCGCCTGTGATCTGGAACCACCTCGTCCGGTTTCCTGTAAAATGTAGGAGGCGTGTTGCATGTGGTAGAGGCTAGGGGGTTAGACATGAAGAAACAGCCCAAAAGTGCTTTGGAGCAAAACAAAACAAAAAGGTCACCGCTTTGACGAGGAACTGCTCGTCCTCTCGCACGTCGAGACTCCGCAATAGATGTGGGAGACCGTCGTCGTCGCAGATCACCTTTCGAAATATATGTATATACTCAAGATATGAAAGAATTTTTTACGTTACACTATGCATAATACTCCTATATTATACATCCATCCCCGGTGGGTCATCTTTCTGTTGGTGGTGTGGCACTACGCACGTGCGTACGTACATACGTGTTTGTGTTAAAGTGTACGTATGTATTGGTCCAAGTATGAACGGTCTAACAAACCCTGTATAACAGTTCAGAGAATAGTCTATAACGACTTAGTAAATGCGTAATACCCTACTTCAAGTATGTCATAAAACTAATATACGTGTTACTATTACCATTCTAATTCCTATATAATGGAGCCCCCCCCCCCCCCCCCCCCCCCCC